ATGTAGCTCTGCCATTCTTCTTAGTGTAGGATAGTTTAGCTAGTAGTTCATTCATTCTTGTTTATTAGCTAGGCAAAGATGAAGATGGAGGATGAAGAAGGCAAGGAGATGAACTCATGTGACAAGGGTTACATTCTTTCCAAACTCTTTATCTTTTGTACTTGATTCCAAGTTTAGTTAATATACAAGTTCTGGATTTTGTGTTCAATATGTGTCTCTAAAATTTATGCCTTGGGTTTGGTTGAACTTTCTATAATTGTTAGTGTTTATTATTTGGTTATTTGATTGCTATGATTTGAGCAAGTTATTTAGCACTTTGACTCTAAATCATGATTAATCTGGTACCATTGATTGTGATTATCTAAGGTGTTGTTTCTGCAATGAAAATTGAGATTTAACACTAGTTCAAGAAGTGCTAAATATAGGGAGTACACTCACGAAAGTAGAGGTGCACCTATGTGGTTTTTAGTGATTCATTTCATGTAAATTCACTGAAGAAATGAACTTGTAGCTAATTTCATAACCATGAGAATAGGTATGGATTAGTTATAAGTATAATTGATTCACTACGAAAATAGGATTCAAATGCATAATGAAATTACACCATAACTAGCTTAGATGTAGTACTCAATGATCCAAATATAGCACTTGCATGAGTAGTTAGGGATAACACAACCTAAGGAGCTTTTATTTGTTATTTTGTATAATTTTAGTAGGTTAAATTTGTTATAATTCATTGATAGTCTAAATAATAGAGAAGCTTTAGTAATACCGGTAATTGTTCACTCTTCCCTGTGGGATCGACCCGATATATTCCCTAAACTGCTAGTTGACTTGTATACTTACAGTGAACGGGTGTAATTCGGTTTTTTTATCTTGTACGTATATATTAAAATGACGTCAATTTTAACTAAATAAAAAGTTTAGTGATCAAGCTACGGAATTCTAAATAGCTGAATTACTGTTTTTGCCATTTTCTCTTTCAGTTATGGACTTGCTGCTTTGACATCAAAGTTGCATTGGCATGAAGCAGCCTAATAAACCGTCTAGTTTGGACCAGCTACAAAGCTGTTTTATTAGCGGAATGTGTCATTAAAGACATGATTTCTATGATGTGTGTTTTTATGGACAAGATCTATAGATACTTTGCATTGTGATGAAGTTTTAAATTATGTTTGTTGTTTTATTTGCACTATCCTAACAAGGAGTCTAATATTGTTACCATTGTGGCAAGCCCTTTCTCAACAAAGCAAGTTAGTGTCACACTATGAGAATAACTACAAGATAAAGAAATTCAAGCAAGATCACCATTTTGATGGGTTGTAGGTTTTTCAAGGCTGGAGGAAACGACCTAAATAATGGTATCCAAAATTCTTTGCTGGGAAATGACCTAGTATGATCCTTTTGCTAGTAATGGTATCCAGAATTTTTACTGAATTTGGCCTGCTAAATTGTTTGGATAGAGTATTATTTGAAATAATTACTGTAGCACTTTTTGTGATGTGATATATGTGAGATAAAAAGTAATTGGGAATAGAAAAAGATGAATTGAAAAATGTGTTTATGATGCAGGTGAAATATTATTTGATATAAATTCGCAATCCAAACACGCATGTTTACCTGTACATTCTGACGAATAGTCTTCAAATGTACCAATGATACTCCACAGGGTCTTCCACGGTTGACTTGCAGCTTGCATTATTCGATCAATATGATTAGCAGTTGCAGAAGTGTAGCTTGGTTTTGGCAAACCATAAAATTTACCATCGAAAGCTGGTATCAGTAACATGTTAATTCTTGTGGTCAACAAATACAAGTTTATTGATTCTTGTCATCTCTATGCATTATATTTATTTTTCTGCACATTTTCTGGCTCTCCAGAGTGGAGAGTGCAAATAAGAATGTCTTGACCATGTTATTAATGTGTCCCATCTCATTGTCAGATTGTATTTTCTCAAATCCTTTCAAGTTAAACACAATTCGTACTTTTTATCATAAAGTTAAAGAGTTTTTTAACTTTTGTTGCCCGGGACTAGATTGTAAGATTTGCATTTTCGTTCTGTATTAATTCCATTGGACTAATACTACTTCACACTCCCGAATTTATATTGATTTTTCACTTTGTATTCCAAATTTTAATTTTAAATATTTTGCACCTCAAATCCTCAATTTTATACACTCTGTACCCTAAACTTTTAAATTTGTTCCATTTAAGTCCAATCAATGATAATATTGGCAAAATTAATGGCATATAGAATCTTACAAATCAATGATAATATGCTAAAAGTGGTCAAATGAGCTAAAATATTGCAATTAGAATAAAACAATATATTTTCATTAATTTACACTATCTATTGTCTTATTAATTTTGCTGACAATGGCTGTGTTTGAATAAGAGATTATTTGAAATAATTATTGTAAAATTTTTTTGTGATGTGATGCATATGAGATAAAAAAGTGATTGGAAAGATAAAAAGATGTCTTGAAAAATGTATTTGTGATGCAAGTAAATAATTTTTTTTACATATTATTGCTATCCAAAATATTAATAATTGCAACTAAACAAATCAATGACAATGGGTTGAAAGTGATTAAAAGGATTCAAGGGATAACGGATAGAACAAAATAATACATTATCATTAATATACAGTTCTTTGTCTTGTTAATTTTGCTACGGTTATCAATGATTGGATTTAAATGAGACAAATTTGAGATTTCAAAGTGTAAAATATCTAAAATTGAGAGTTTTTAACTTTGGAAGTATTGTATATAAAGAACTTTATATAAAGTGGGAATGCCACTTGAATTCTTGGTGGTCTTTCGTCCTCTACTCCTGTGCAAATCACGTGGCGTGGAAATCATCCTGCTGGTTCTGAGTGGCTTGCTGCCTTTTTGCTCCTCCACCGTCATTTTTTGCATCCCTGCTTCTATTTTTCCCCCCTGAATTCATCTTGCTCACTATCCATTATTTGGTTCTTTTTTAAATTATATACCCATGTTGTTTTTTTCCGCTCCTTCTTTGCTTTTCTTAATGTATTATATATTATATATACTTATCTTCTATTATATTTGTTATTTTGTCTATATTTTTTATATTTGTTATCATTTTTTTTAATATATTAATATATTTTTCACTATTCGGTATTTGCTTCTTTTTAAATATGGTACCCATGCTGTTTTTTTTCCCTCTCCTCCTTTAAACTAAATTTTTGTATTTATATGACTTTTTTTTGCTTTTAATTATTATTTTTTCCTCTCTCCCATTTTTCCATCTTTACTGTTATATTTATTCTTTTGCTGTTACTGGCTGACTATTTTTTGCCTTCAGTGTAATAATTTTTCGTATATTTTCTTTTCCCAATTTCTATAACACATTTTCTTATGTGATCTGTCTTACCTATGTTGTAATGCAAAAAATATTAGTCAACATGATAATAGTGCTTATTATTATAAGCCTGGTACTAATGATACATTAGTATTATATCTTATCTATATTATCATGAATATATTACTAATCATAATGATAACAGTACTTATTATTATAACTCTAATACTAATAATACATTAGTCTGATCACGCTGAACACAAGACATTAGTAGTCGAGCCAGCATAAGCAGACGCCTTGCCCGTTTCTTCTATTGGTCGGCAGTCACCTCTCAGCGTACGCAGCCTGCACTTCATTATTTTTTGGTGTCTCCATGCTTTCCCAGGTTCTCATGCACCCAAGAGCTTCCAGGTAATCATTTGAGTTTCTTCCGCTTGCATTTCGGCCTTCTTTCCTTCTTCTTCTGCTTCCTTACATGCATTGCTTGCACTTCTTCTTCCTCCAGCTTTTCCTTACCTCTGTTTCCTTGTGCGTCTTTCTTCAAACAGTGTTCTTCCTGCTTTCTTGCTACTGCTATTACATCTGCTGTAAGTGCTGCTGCAATTTCTCTATCCCTGTTCTTGTAGTACTGTTTGTATTTTTCCCCCTATTCTTGCACTTATCATGCTTGCTGCTTTGTTCCACGTGACGATGCTATTATTATTCATCTTGCATTTTTTTTTCGATTCTGTTTGTTCTACCGTTTTCATTTTCATTCCATTGTTATCTCTTGCTGTTTTGTCTTTCGTTTTTACTTTCGGTTGTACCCAGTTTTTTGTTGCCTCTGTTCCTTTTCGTCGGCTTTCATGCTTAAACATTGCCTCTTTTCTTTATGATTCGCATGCTTTGTTGGTCATCTTTGTTTGCATGCTATTATTCTTTCTACACTCTTTAGCTTTCTGTCGTTAATTGCTATTTTTCCTTGCCCTCTTCATTTCCTCCATGTTCTGGCAGCTGCAGCTTGCTGCTTATTTTTCCTTGCTTCAGGGAGGGGTACTTAACATTTTGTAATTGCAATTGAGCTGCTGTGTCTGCTGCTTTTTTGTTGGCTCTATTCCTTTATTCTGCTTTCCTGCTAAAACATTGTCTCTGTTCTGTATGTTTCGTATGCTTTCTTGTTCGTTTTTTTGTTGTACTTGCGCCGCTAAGTTTTATATTGTATTTGAACCGCTGCGTTTATTGATTTTTGTTGCTTCTGTTCCTTTTTATCCTCTTTCCTGCTAAACCATTGCCTCTGTTCTGTATGTTTCGCCTGCTTTCTTGCTCAGCTTTGTTTGCATGCTACTATTGCTTCTACACTTTCTCTTTCTGACATTTATTGCTATTTCTTTTTGGTGCCCATCTTCATTACCTCCAGGTTCTGGTAGCTGGAAGTTGTTGCTTACTTTCCTTGCTTCAGCAGAAGGTACTTAACGTTTTCTTTTCCCAAGAATGCCTCGGTTGTTATGTTTACTGCTCCGTCTAACTGTGTCTCCTTTTAGCAAACATTTATTAGCTGCTTTGTTCTCTATTTCTGTTTATATGCCACGTTAGCTTCTTCTGCTTTTATTGCTTGTCTGATGTGCCTCTTTTTCCGTTGGAAATACCTGTGGTCCGTTTATGTAGTCCTCTCGCAAATCTCATACCATACCATACCATGGATAGAAATGCAAAACGCCGCAAACGTTATGCAGAGATGCCCCCAGAAAGGAAGGATGAACTTTTAAGCTGCCAAAGGGCAGCTAGCGCGCGTCGTTACGCACAAATGCCACAGGATAAAAAGGATGCTCTTTTACGCCGTCGGAGGGAGGCTAATGCTTCAAAGAAGCACAAAATGCCCACTTCTGCCTCTGATTGTGTGTCAAAACCCGGCACTTCTAGGAGAAAACGTCCAGCTAACGCTCAAAAAACTCCGTTAGTTCCTGTAGGGACAGCCATTAGTACTCCTGATGCTTTTATACACCCTGTTCCTACTCAAAATGTTGATCCTCTGGTCAGTGATGAGTTAGCCAGTACTAAAAATGCTGATCCTCTGGTCAGTGATGAGCTAGCCAGTAGAGCCTCACATTCTTTTGCCATTCAGTCAGAAGACGTGCTAGACGGTGCTCCATTACCGCACCTGTTCAGCTCTACAAATACTTCATTGGAGTGTGAAAAGCATGCTTCCTCCTCTGTTCATGCAAATTCCATTCCTTCTAATGGTCAACAAGGTAGACCTTAGCTTTAGTTTTTTTCCTTTGCGTTTAAATGCACTTTACTGATCCTAATTACTATTTTTTCCCTAGCATCTAGCTGTTTCGAATTCATCTGTTACACTTCATCTTTTTTCCTTCTACTTTGGTCTTTTAGACACCTCTTGCAATCTATCTCTGCCTCTTTTCCCTTCACCATCCATCCATGTTACTCATTCCTTACAACCTACAACTTCTCTCTGTCTTCTTTCCTTTTTAAAATGCTTAGCTCATTTTCACTCACAGGAAATGCAGCTTGCTTTACCACTGTCAAACGTGCTTCCCTGACCAGAAAAACATCCAGCTCAGGTTGCATTTTAATTGTGTCCAGTTAAATCTTTTATCATTGTCTTTTCAAGCTTAGTTCTTGTCCTACTTTTCCCTGGAACAGCAAAAGTCAACGAGTACCCTTTCTTCCAGGTCATCAGCGAAACTCTAGGAAAACTATTCGCTCTCATTTAGAAAGGATTCCTGACCGTTCTTTGCTTCTCCCTGAATCTCCAAGTTGTCAGTATTGTGGAGCTATAAGGTTCCATTTAGAACCTCCTAATTTCTGCTGTTCAGGAGGGGAAGTTTCGCTTGTCACTTCAACAATGCCTTATGATCTGCGCCGCCTCTTCATCGGTGATGATGAAGAATGTGACCATTTCAGGAAGAATGCTCGTACATACAATAACAATGTTTCTTTCACTACTTTTGCTGCAAAGTATGATCCAGAACTGACGAAAAATAAGCACGGTGTTTATACGTTTCGCGTGCAGGGCCAAGTATATCACTTTCTTGATAGCTTGGTCTCACGCCGTCGCAATCCATCTGGTATTCAGTTGTACTTTTTTGATACCGATGAGGAACTTGCAAGGAGGCTTGATGCTTCCTCTCGGCTGCGCGAAAACACCCTTAAATTGCTTATGCGCATTTTAGCTAGCAATCCTTATGCCAGGTTCTTTAAGGATTTGCGTCATGTTCCTGATCTCGAACACCATAGAATTGTGCTTAATTGCAATCCATCTCTTGATCAGCGTGTATATAATCTTCCATCAGCTTCTCAAGTTGCTGCTATATGGATTGAAACTGATGGTGAATCAGTAGATAAGTCTGTCCATATTCAGGTTTATAGTCATTCCGATCAAAGTCATATGATTAAGCATTATTATGCTTGCTATGACTCTTTGCAGTACCCTTTATTATTCCCTCGTGGTGAGTCTGGATGGCATCATGGAATTCAGAGGATTACGTTCGAAAATAGGAAACGATTACGTCATGTTTGTGAGGATGATATTCCTATTGATCCAGCTTCTATCAGTCGTCCATCTGATCTGATTAATCTGGAACAAAGAGGCAAGTATAAGCTAGACACCTTGGAAACATTCTTTTAATCTTTTCCTAGCTCAATGTCTTTCTGCCTCATGTCATTAATACGTACTTCCATTTAATTCCAGTCGCTGATCGTGGCAAGAAACAGAAAACTAATGTCACGGCTAGGGAATACTACTGTTATAAGTTTCAAATGAGAACTGATGATGAGTCCATGTTGTTACATGCCTTGAGATTGTTACAGCAGTATGTTGTTGATATATACGTTAAGATAGAGACATCTAGGCTTGATTTTCACAGAAGAAAACAGAATACGATTCGGACTGAAGCTCTCCAAGGAATAATGGATAGTGTCTCTTTAGGCCAAACCTCAGGTTCTAAAGTTGGCCGACGAATATATTTGCCAGCTTCCTTTCTCGGAGGGCCGCAGGATATGCGGCGTAGATATCTTGATGCAATGGCTTTAGTGCAAAAATTTGGAAAGCCTGACATTTTTTTGACCATGACATGCAATCCACTATGGCCAGAAATTCAGGAAAATCTGAAATACAAGGAAAAACCTCAGGACAGACCCGATCTTTTAGCTAGAGTGTTCAGGGCAAAGTTTGAAATGCTGAAAGCAGAGATCATTACAAAGAAAATCTTTGGAGACGTAGCAGCCTATGCTTATGTCATTGAATTTCAAAAAAGAGGTTTTCCTCATGCTCACCTACTACTGATATTGAAACCGCAGTTTAAGCCTCTTAATCCAGAAGCATATGATAAAATTGTTTCCGCTGAGCTGCCTGATCGTAAAGAACATCCTCATCTTTATTCTCTTGTTGTAAGGCACATGATACATGGACCTTGTGGACAAATGAACAAAAATAGTCCTTGTATGAAAAACAGTGTTTGCAAAAATCATTATCCCAAGGGGTATTCTGAGCATACGACTCACGGTGAGGATAGCTATCCAAATTATCGGAGGCGAAAGGATGGAAAAAAAAATTAGAGTCAAAGGCTATGATTTGGATAATAGGTGGATCATCCCATATACTCCATACTTGCTAGCCTTGATCGATTGTCACATCAACGTGGAAATCTGTTCAACTATCAAGTTAGTTAAGTACTTATACAAATACATATTTAAAGGCCATGACCTTGTCAACTTCCACATCATAGCTGATGAAACACCTCAAGATGTTGATGAGATCAAGGAGTTTCAGCGCGGTCGATGGGTTTCTCCTCCGGAAGCTTTGTGGCGAATTTATGCATTTCGATTGAATGATGACCCCTGCTGTTTACAGTCTTCAGGTGCATCTTCCTGGTCACCAATATGTTTCCTTTAATCAAGATTCTGATCTTTCGCAGCTCTTAGAAAAAATTGATTTCTCAAAAACTATGTTAACTGAGTTCTTTAGAATGAACCGTGTCAACAAGAAAGCTCAAAACCTCAGATGTTTGTATAAAGATTTTGCTCAGCACTTTGTTTGGACACCTGCTAAAAGAAAATGGACCGAAAGAAGTAAGCAGAAAGTTATTGGCAGGTTAGTCACTGTTAAACCAAGCGAAGGTGATAGGTATTATTTAAGGCTTCTTCTCTCCCATGTTCGAGCTCCTACCTCATTTGATGACTTGTTGACTGTTAATGGATGTAAACTAGCTTCATTTAGAGCTGCTGCTTTAAAACTTGGCCTCTTAGACTCTGATTCTTACATTGAGGCGACACTTGAAGAAGCGGCTGGTTTTCAAATGCTTTCTTCACTGAGATTTTTATTTGCTACTTTGCTTTTGCATTGTGCTCCAACAAATCCAAGTCTTCTGTGGGAAAAATTTGAAGTGGAACTTTCGAGGGACTTTGAACGAGCGCAAGTACAGGCTCATTGTTGTTCAGCTGCTGAGATAAGACGGAAGGTTTTGTTTGATATTAACAGATCGCTCCAACATATGGGGAGGCATATCAGTGAGTACAGGTTAGTAGCAGACGATATTACTTTTAGCTGTCATGAGAGCATGACTAAGGAAGTTGACAGTGAAAAGAGTATTGTGGTGTCACCGGAAGATCTCTTGATATCTTCAAAGTTAAATGCAGAACAAAAACATGCTTATGATTTGATATTGCAAACTGTTTTTTCCAGAGCTTTTTCATTGATGGCCCGAGGGGGACGGGAAAAACATTTTTATATCGCTCTCTTCTTGCAACACTTAGATCACAGGGATACATTGCAATAGTTGTAGCAACTTCAGGAGTTGCAGCATCGATTCTTTCTGGAGGAAGAACTGCTCACTCCAGATTTAAGATTCCATTGGACTTTTCCAGGAATAAACCCTGTCAGTTGAGCAAGCAAAGCAGCATGGCTCATTTAATCATTCAATGCAAGTTGTTCTTGTGGGATGAAGCGTCAATGGCAAAAAAGGAGACTATTGAAGCATTTGATGAATTACTCAAAGATCTAATGGAGACTGCTGATCCTTTTGGAGGCAAGGTTGTAGTTTTTGGGGGCGATTTTCGCCAAACTCTTCCTGTCATTCAAGGAGTAACTAAGGACCAGTTAATTCAGGCTAGCCTCCTGCATTCTTCGTTATGGTCTAAGATGCACAAAATAAAGTTAACACAGAACATGAGGGCTGTCTTAGATCCTGCATTTTCACAATTCTTGCTCGCAGTTGGGGAAGGTTCAGAACCTGTTGATGCAGATAACCAAATTTGCTTGCCAAGTCATATGGTTATACCATTCCACAACATGAAAGAGTCTTTTGACAGGTCCTTTATACTTCCTGTATTTCGCGCACACTCCTGACCTTTTTTCATAAGTATTACTACATATTCTTGCACAGACTGTTAACAGAAACTTTTATGACCAGGTTGGTAGCTTACACATTTCCAGATTTGAACCTCTATTCATCTGATCCTTATGAAATGATCAGTAGATGTATTTTAACCCCAAAAAACACCTCTGTGGAAGACATCAATGATGTGATGATTCAGAGGTTTCCTGGACAACTTTTTAGTTATACAAGCTCTGACCAAACTGTTGATCAGAGATTTCAGGCAGATTACGAGGATTTTTTAAATTCTCAAAATCCAAAGGGTCTTCCTCCACACAAACTCATGCTGAAAGAAAACTGTCCCTTAATCTTGCTCAGGAACCTAAATCCAGCTGAAGGATTGTGCAATGGCACGAGACTTATCTGTCGACAGCTAAAACGGCACACTATCTGTGCTGAGATTGCTTTTGGTCAGTATAAAGGGAAACAGATTTTCATTCCCAGAATTCCATTGCAGATACCTGATAATGAAAAAAATGGCATTCCGTTCATCAGAACACAATTTCCGGTTCGCCTTTGTTTTGCAATGACAATTAACAAGGCTCAAGGCCAAACTCTTGACTATGTTGGTGTATATCTAAAGGAACCCGTATTTTCTCATGGCCAATTATACGTTGCACTCTCTAGAGCAAAAACTGCTGATGCCGTTAAAGTTCTCATACTTCCAGGGACTTTTGCTGAAGTAAAAACCGACTGTAAAACAAGGAATATTGTGTTTGATGAAATATTGCAATTGTCTAATTGATCATTTGCACTCTTCAGAGGTATCTTGACGTTTAATTGTTGTTATATGTTGGTTTCGAAACTTATAATTTTCTCTTGCCTTCGAAGCAGCAATTCCTTGCTTATTTATTCTTATTATTGCTACTGATTATAGGATGGCTACTGTATTATCTATCGCTGATGTTGAGGTCGGGATGGAGAAGTGGACAGCGAAGGTTACTGTCCAGGAGAAACAGCAGGTTACCTCATCGATTAGCACACCAACTAGGAAACAAAAATTTATCTTTATTGATTCTGAGGTATTTATTGCAATTTACCTTTTATACTTCTAATGCTATCTGCTAAACTTAGTAGTATACATACTGCTCATTTGTCCGCCAATATGATGATTATTTTTCAGGGATCAAAGGTTGAAGGAATCATCTTTAATTCTGACATTGCTATAATGAGCCCCAGAATAGAGGTTTACAAAAAATACCTCATCTCCAATGCTCAGGTGAAAAGGATCCCTGATAACTTTAGAACCACTGAGCTGACAAAGCAATGGATAATCACCAGTCGCACTATTATTGAAGAGATTGTAGATGATGAGGATGTTATAGTTGCAAAGTTTACGTATACCAAATTTAGGGACTTGGCACAGTACATGGATCGAAAGGACATTTCTGTTGGTGGGTATCTTTCTTTGCAATCATAACTGATCTATCTTAGTTATTATATGTTGTTAGGCTTACTTTTACAGTTCCTCTCACTAGATATTATGGGAATTGTTATTGCTGCGTTGGATGAAAGGAATGTCACAATTAATTCAAAGGAAGCCCGAGTCCAGAAGCTTGTCATTGTTAATGAAGAGTAAGAAGGCTTAATCTTTGTATACACTCACTATCTGCTTTTACGGATTAAGGCATTTTTCAACAAAAACATAAACACTTGATCTGTTTCAAATATTTCAGATTGCAGACACTTATGCTATCTATGTGGAATGCTTTTATTGATAATGAAGGCTCCAAGATTATCTCGGACATTCAGAACTATCCTGTTCTTATTGGAAGAAGGCTAAAGGTTCCAAATTACAATGGTCGGTATAACAGTTGGCACTTACATGTTCTGAACGTATAGTCTTTTTCTATCTGTGCATTTTTCCAAATCACATATTGCTTCCCCTTTTCTTTTTTATAGGTGTAGCTCTTTCTACTTGGTTTGATTCAGCAGTCCTTGTGAATCCACCTATTCAGGAAGCAATGGAGCTCAAGAACTGGTTCTGCTCTTAGAATTTTCAGTATTTACTGCTTATAGAGTTTATAATTCATCTGTTTGTTTGACAGTCAGAAAGACTTAAGAGCTGGTTTCACTCTTATAATTTTCGATCTCAGGTGCATACAAAGAAATGATATGTTCCCTATTTGCCTGACCGTTTTAGTATCCTATATACAGGGCAAGTAGAAATGCCAAATGCCTTGCAGACATTGTCGAAAAGCGAACTTACAATCGCTACAATCCTGATATCTCTTGCCAAGCAGATCAAAAGACTACTGATATATCAAATATCAGCTCAAAACACAAGGTACTGTCCTGATTGCAGCCTCATCAGCAGCTTTCAGCCTACAAATATTTTGACTACTTCATGTACTGACTATATTTTTAGAATGTGTGGGTCAAAGCATCGTTTTCATTTGAAAACATCTTCCAAAAATTTTGGTACATCGGGTGCGAAAAATGCTTCCGCTCCACGTCTGCGGATTATGGTGCTCAGTTCATGTGTAATACTTGTAAACAAAAGCACAAGGCTGAACCAAGGTATAATGATCGTTAATTTATTTGTTACTTGTCATTTCTGATGCTACTGCTCATTATATAATCATTTTCCCCTCTGCTGTGCCTTATATAAAGCTTGCATACTTAATAGGTGTAAATTTGATGTTGACCTCTCTGATGCCACTGGAACAGTCACAGCCACACTGTTTGGTGATTTAGCTGAAAAATTGCTAACGTTCACAGCCAAGGAAGCAATGGAGCATTATTTTCAGGTTTGCTCTTACCATGCCGCATCAATACATATGTATATATATGTCTTTATATATATATATATATTCTTTCATTTTGTAAATTGCAGAATACAGCCTTACCACTTGAAATTCTGCATGAAGACCTAAAATCAAAAAAATTCCTTGCCTGCATAAGACCTGTACAAGTTCCCTTGGCTGATGCAAAACAACGCTTCACAATGGTATACTATAAAGAAGTTTCTCATGACCAGGTTTCTATTACAGACTCCAGTGAACAGACCTTGATTTCTCCTTCAGCAGGTTATAACCTATGCTTGGTCATCTTTGCCTGACATGTGAATGAATTACTCTACAAATAAGAAGTGTATTACATTTCATCTGTACTATGTACATATTTGTTTTTCTATGCAAGAGACACCTCACTGAATCAGGTATGGTTACTGCTTTTCAGCAGGCGAAACGTCTTCTTCCAAAGCTAAAGTTTGTCTCCTTCAAAAACTTGACGCGTCTGCTAAAAATATGCAATTAAGCTCTGAAGCTCTTCAGAGCAGCCCCAGGAAAAAGCCCAGACAAGCTTAGAGTAGTTCCTTTTCCAAACAAGGCATATTGTTTTTGCTGGATTCTCTATTATCTGTCATTTTTTAGCACATTTTTTTAGCACTATCATGCTGCTAATGTGCCTATAAAATGCTATGAAATATCCATGCGGCTGAAGTATGTATCTGTGCACACTGTTAAGCATTGCCTATTAATCTAAATGCCTTTTGCAACTTAGTTTCAAAGTAGCATATTCTGCGTGCCTTTATGCTGTTTCAAGCTAACATTTATTGCCAACAGCAACACTTTTTCCCATTCAATATATTTATCAAAGCTTTCACTTTCCAGTCCATTTCTTCTGAAATAATGTGCCATCAAGTAATGTGAAATGATGTGCCATGAATTAACTGTTGCCTCCAAACATCAAACTGCATTGACCCTTTCCAAGATTGTCTTTCTGCATTCATTAATGATCTTACAGCTATTACTTCAACCACTTTCAATGAATACACTGGTTACCAGATACTTTTACAAACCAGTTTTTGCTGCCAAAGCTTGTTATGGAACCTGTATATATATGACAAGAACAACCTACTAAAATCTACAGCCTCAGAAGGCCATTATAGTTATAAGATTAATAACAAACAAACATGGAGTTCTCTGAAAGCGTTGGATCCTCCAGTCTTCCACCAGATATTACCGGCAGGACGGAATGCTGCTTCTTCTTTAGGAGTTGCAGTTCTAAGCAGGTAATTTTGCTACTATATAGTTTTGCTTCCTCGTGGCATATGATTTCTTTGGTGATAACCAAAGATTTTCAAAATAATTAGATCTTCCCTGCTCAATTTCTGCTGCTTCTAAGAAACCACCAACAACGTACCATAACTATTCGGGAAGGCTATAGAACATGGACTATCAGCATTTTAGAAAGTTGGTTTGGAGAAGGCTGGCAAGACTTCTGCGAGAATAATATCATCCGGGAAGATGACACAATGTTCCTTCGACATTCTGGAAACTTGATGTTCGACGTGCTCCATTACTCAGCAACAAAAACGCATGACTACTTACCTTGGACTCATCCACTACCTAGTCTGTTAGATACTCCAGAGCATGTTATCCTAAAAAGTTAGTTTTTCTCATGCTTAAACACTTCCAGCTTTTTAGCATCGTTCTTGTTTTATTTGCCAGCTTTGTACGCTTACCTTTTTCTATTATACACAGAACAAAGAATGCAGTGTCAGAAAGTAGCATCGGCAATGAAACCAGATTTCGTTCAAGACTTCGCTGATGGTCTATCATTCTATGAGATCTTCACTGAGCAAAACCAACATCATTTTGTGAGCTTCAGTTATCTCTTGTTCTATTTTTTCATTCACTGCTTTCTTTCCCACTGATAATTTTTCCTTTCCCTGAACAACAGAAAGTGCCCAAATTTGTATCCTTCTTCATACATGGTGACAAAGCTCCTCTGATCACCCTAAGAACTGGAAACAAGACAATCACTCTTGGAATGCGTCGGAGACAGTTTACAACAAATTGGAACACTTTTTGTTTTGAGCATCAGCTACAATTTGGCGACGCTTTAGTATTTATCCCTGAAACAGAGTTCTGCTATATTGTCCTAATCTTCGACAAGCGTGGAGTCGAAAAGCTATTCCCTTGGTACAACAAGTTCTGCATCTTCTCTGATGCACCAACCAGTAGAACTTAGCCAGCTTCTTTTACATTTGTTCTAGGAGAAGCGTTGTCCTTCTTATATGTTCACTAAGCATATGAATGCCAGCTTTTATTTTCCTTTTTTTCCCATACCAAATTTACCTTAGCAATTTATCTAAAACGTGCCGCACATTTATTTCAACCATTTAGGAAATTTCACCCAAATTAATTGTCTTTAATTCTATTAGTTACATGAAATTATTTTGCCTGCAGACAGTTATCTATCCACTTTAATTCCCTACAATTTTTAAAAAAACTGTTACCCTGAGGGTGGAACAAAAAATTACGTTTATTACATTCTACCTTAATTATCCACTTTTTAATTAATGCCAAGTTCTCCATATCGTTAATTTATACATGTCAAAAAACATTTCTACTAACTTTTGCCTTCTTAATTCAGATGGCGGTATCGTTTCAATTAATGGCTTGTGTATCCTTTTTTTCATCTTTATAATTATCTCCCCTAATTTTTACACAACATACTGCAATTACAAATTATACTACTTTATTAAATTCATACTCTTTAATGCTCCTGGTGGGCATTACATTAATTCTTCACCGTGCGCAAGCACGGTATATTTCTGCTAGTATGTGCAAAATGTTTGAACTTGAAATTTGAAGTGCAAAGTGAAAAAGTGGTACAAATTGGAGGGTGCAAAGTGAGTTAATACTATTCCACTGGTTAAAAAAATAATTCAACGAACAAAGAAAATATTTTATGGAAACTATGTATTGTCACTTCATATCACAATGGTACAGCGAGCATGCTTCTTGAAAGTCATAAAGATGGTAGGCATCTCCGTTAAGTACAAGCTAAAGAGTTACTTTATAGTTATGCGTACAAAAGCCATGACTGATTAGAAAAAGCAATTAGATAAATTGATATCCAATTAATCTACAATACCAGTCATCTTTGTCTTCTATTGTGAAAAGATATTCATATAAATATTACGTGGAAGTAACTTGTTTCCTTATTGATTTTAGTTACTTGAAATAGTAGTGAAGAAATTTTCTATTTGTATGAGTTTAAGAATTAGAAGTTATTTTCTATTATGTATAAAATTAGAAATTAGCAATTATTTCCTATTATTATTTGGGTGTTGGCCAAGTAAAGTAGTTTATAAATAGTTATGGGTTGGTGTACTACAAAGTGACATACAAAAGCAACATGTAACCTTATACATAATGAGAGAGAGAGAGAGAGAGAGAGAGAGAGAGAGAGAGAGAGAGAGAGAGAGAGAGAGAGAGAGAGAGAGAGAGAGAGTTCTTACGAAATGAGAGATGATATATAAAGGTTGGATTTGGGTTCAAATTATATTCTTGTATAGAGTTTTCCTTTCATAGTAAAGATCAAATTTTCTTTCCATGGACATAGATTCAATGATAGAGTCGAACCATGTTAAATCTTGTGTGCCTTTCATCTTTTATGCTTGTAACTTAATTGTTATTAAATTATTGTATTCTTGATATTTCAGTAGTCGTTTATTTCGCGCTAAAAAACCCCAACAAATTAATCAGTAACATGAGTGCACAAAATAATGCTTCGCCTTACAAAATTAGCATGATAAAACTTGGAAGAAACAATAACTTAAAAGGAACCTAAATGTCGAATCGGGTCCTAACTACCGAGAAATTAAGAATTGCTGATCATTGGTATAAGATTAACATATATAAAATTTCTATCATTGCCATAAGTCACAGGTAAGGACTGCTTATGTAGAATTCTTGCCGGAACCCATTTGCAGCTACAATTTTTCTTTCCGTCCCTTTCTTCATTCCCCAACTTTTACAATTTCCAAATCACTTAATATTGTGCCGCACAAATTTCTTCATCTTCTATTTTTAATAAATAACTAGCTTTGGACCTTTGCCTACGCACGGGAAGCAAATAATTAAGTATAAGAAACACGTGCTGAAAAAAAATTTTCAAAGTAAAAAAATTAAAAAAAAAAAACATATCCTAACAGAATGCGTAAACTTGTTAGACGGTGCATTTTATTAGTTTGAAGTACAATAACTCACCTTATTTATATAGTTTAACATGGGTTATAGTTTGATTTTTGAAAAATAATTAAATGTAATAGTTCTTCATGATTTGACCAATGGACAAAAGAAGTTTGATACATGCATACAAGCAAAAATGACGAGGTTTCCTTTCCCCATGGCAAAAAGAAACACAAACTTAATAGATCTTGTCCATTCTGACATTTGTGAATTAAATGATTTTCTGATAAGATCTTCATCACATTCGTTACCTTCAAAGTTCAAACCCCTTGCTCTCTGTTAGTTCATTAACACATGCTATAGAATATTTTCATCATAAACAATTGAGATACATGGGATTCCTTCGATTCAGTAATCTTGCTACTTAGTTCATGCTACATAAACCTAATGGCGGACCCGGGATTTTAGTTTGGGGGAGTGAATGATCAATGTTATAATAGAAGAAAAAAAAATTCTATAACAAATAAGCATACAAAGTATAAAATGAAAGTTCAATATATTATAATTAGGCATAAGAAATTTTTAAAAAATACAGACAAAGCATAAAGAATGTGAAAATTAGACTCTATATTGTGGTATTTACTATCAATGCAAGGCATTGATAGCTGCGGCTGGAACTTCTTCAATTGTATGATAGTTTATTGGTTTTTTTTTTTTTTTGTCTTTGATTTCCTACGTAACATGTACAATGTTACCTTAGTTGCTATTGAAAAGTTATAATCCCTCCATCACATTAAAAGTTTCATACTTTCTAATTTGAAATGTCCCAAAATATTTCTTATCTTACTAAAATCAAGATTACTTTTGATCTCTTTTTCCAACGTTATCCTCATCTTTGTCTATTTTTAATAATATATTCAAATGTAAAATTTGAATTTTAGATGGCAATAATGAAAACAAATCCATTAACATCACCATCGTATCACTATTTTCAAAAAAGTTGAAATTCTGAAATGTGATAAACAATTTGGGATGGAGGGAATAGTAATCAAAGAAACTAAATAGTTGTTTTGTTTTATAAAATTTGGTTAAAATAAAGGGATAATTTCAGAAACCTCCTCTGAGGTTTCTGACAGTCTCAAGGATCTCCCCTGAAGTTCCGAAAATCCCTTATACCTCCCCTAAAACTAGTATCAGATTCAACCCAATTGAGGTGGACAATGAATATATAATGCGTATCAGGAGAGAGAAAATAAAGAAATTCCACCTCTGCCCTCAAGATTGTCATTAGTGAGGATGTTTATGTTGAAAATTTCAATGGAATCTTGTTCCTTTGAAATTTTAGGAGGCGTATGTGAAACTGGTGGAAAAAGGTAAGGATGTATTGCAAGAAATTGTCTTCTGCTCCATGCCAACGGCTCTCAAAGCAGTTGTTTGTAACGGTAAAAAGAAACAGTTGTGTTGCTTTGGAGCTCTATATAATTGCCTACTGGAGTTGCAAGAGAAAGCATTGCTCTCAGTTAGTTCATTAACACATGCTATAGAATATTTTCATCATAAACAATTGAGATACATGGGATTCCTTCGATTCAGTAATCTTGCTACTTAGTTCATGCTACATAAACCTAATGGCGGACCCGGGATTTTAGTTTGGGGGAGTGAATGATCAATGTTATAATAGAAGAAAAAAAAATTCTATAACAAATAAGCATACAAAGTATAAAATGAAAGTTCAATATATTATAATTAGGCATAAGAAATTTTTAAAAAATACAGACAAAGCATAAAGAATGTGAAAATTAGACTCTATATTGTGGTATTTACTATCAATGCAAGGCATTGATAGCTGCGGCTGGAACTTCTTCAATTGTATGATAGTTTATTGGTTTTTTTTTTTTTTTGTCTTTGATTTCCTACGTAACATGTACAATGTTACCTTAGTTGCTATTGAAAAGTTATAATCCCTCCATCACATTAAAAGTTTCATACTTTCTAATTTGAAATGTCCCAAAATATTTCTTATCTTACTAAAATCAAGATTACTTTTGATCTCTTTTTCCAACGTTATCCTCATCTTTGTCTATTTTTAATAATATATTCAAATGTAAAATTTGAATTTTAGATGGCAATAATGAAAACAAATCCATTAACATCACCATTGTATCACTATTTTCAAAAAAGTTGAAATTCTGAAATGTGATAAACAATTTGGCATGGAGGGAATAGTAATAAAAGAAACTAAATAGTTGTTTTGTTTTATAAAATTTGGTTAAAATAAACTTAATAGTTTCTTAATTATTATTCAAAAGTAGTACTAATCACATGGTAAAGTAAATCCTAATGAAATACTTTTATAACAAAAGTAATTGTTATTTTTTCAGTGTATTTTAGTATAAGTAAAAGGTTTCAAATTCAGGATTTCTTACTTATACTCTCTCCCTCCATACTATCCAATTTATCCCTTCCCCACCCCCACCCCAATCCATACTATCCAACTTATCCCTTCCCCACCCCCACCCCAACCCAACCCAAGCAATTGTTAATTTGGCATCACATTTTATCAAAACAAATTAAACAAAATAACAAAAATAACTACTGATAATTATGTTTCAGATCCAATGTAATATAATTTTAGTTGACAACTAAAATTATAAAGAGGATATTAAAATTTTGAAAACTTTTGGGAGAACGGCTGCCCTTGCCCGTCCCCCTTGCGTCAACCTTTGCATAATCTCCTAAGCTCCTCTACTGCTTCATGCAACTCTTCTTCACCTTCTTCTCTCAACTTGTGACTCAATTCCTTAGCTTTTTGTTTCACTGATTCTCCCAGCTCTGTCTTCTCTACGACCACCTCTTTTATGACTTTAGCGACATTTTCCCTCTTGATCCGCCCATCTTCGTCCCTCAAAATCTCAATGCCAACGCCAATCTCCACCGCAAGTCTAGCATGGTGAGGCTGGTCATAAAGCATGGGCAAGGCTAACAATGGAACCCCATAATATATGCTTTCCATAAAAGAACCCCATCCACAATGACTCACAAAACCACCAGTGCTGGGATGTTCAAGAACTTTAGCCTGTGGTGCCATCCATCCACTACCACTCCCCTCGTTTTCACCCTCTCGAGAAACCCCTCTGGTAAGGCTTCTTCAAGGGCAATGGCATCTCCCACGGGAAATCTAAGTACCCATATGAAGTTAGCAATACTCAGCTCCAGCCCGTACGCTATCTCTTCCCTGTCTTCCTCGGACAAAAAGATTTCGCTCCCAAAAGAAACATAAACCACTGATGACTCACCTCCGTCATTCAGAAATTCAATGATATGGGAACTGTTCTCCTCCTCCTCTTCCTCCTTGGTATCATCATGTTTTAGTTCAGCAAGAGGTCCTACAGCCAGTGTTTTAAAATGCGAAAGCACTGGGTAAGACGTTTTGTCCTTGCCTACGGCCCACAATTTTTTGAGTTTTTAATAAATAAAAATAAAAATACTTATAATATTATAGAGAAATATTGTATTTTTTTCCGGAAACATTAGAAGATTATATTGATAATCATTGTAAAATTACAAAAGTATGGGCAAAGGCCCAATCACACTATACATCGTGTACACAGACACAAAGGAAGCTAGCGCTCCTCGTCCAATGGAATGCTTGTAGCATATGAACTAGTCTGTCTACTTCTATCTTTTTGTTCGTCTGGTATTAGATAAAAAGAGCATTGCACAAACATCGAGCTTATTCTATCAATCTCCTCCACCTGAGCTAACAATCTGATATCTTTGACTCTTCCTGACCTTAGTTGTCTTAGCAACTGTTGGTACGTGATTCCCACCTTTATACGTGACCACTGTTGTGCTCTTGCTTTCGCCATTGCTAGTTTTAATGCTTCTGCATAGTCTAGTAGCCAATGTCCCGCACTCCTTTCTCTCATGGCCCATAAAGCTTTTTCCTGGCCATTGATGTCAGTTGTCATCACTCCAATCCCTACCACCTGCCTTTCCTTCTTGATAGTTATAGCTACTTGTACATCGATACACTCCTCATCACATGTGTTGAGTTCTGGCTCGTCCAAAGCACCAATTGTTTCTGAAATGCTCTCTTTCCTGTTTCCTTCCATAGCTGCCTGGTGTTCCATCCATTCCTGCATAGCTTTTTGTACTACTTGTAAAGGTTGCTTATTCTCTTCCTTGAAGACTCTTTCATTTCTCGCTTCCTTGAAGGCTTTTGTGCTTCACTCCTTCTTGCCTATCTCTTGCTCCTACTAGAGCACTCCACCATCTCCTGAAGCATCCTCTTTGGTCAGCTATCCCATCCCATTATATAGGTGAAATGTTCCACACTTGTTCTGCATTCTTACAGTGAAATAGTAAATGTTCCACCGTTTCTATAAAGAAACTAGAGGTACTTGAACTGTGCAAAGCACAGTTTGGGCCCCTAGAAATTTAGTCGAATGCGAACAAGGGGCAGGGACCGTCCCTGAAGGCCTGAACAATCAACGGCTAGATTTTGGCCAAAAAAATATGTACGGTCCAAATTACAAGTTGTACATCGATTTTCACGTGTGTGGGGCCCGTAAATTTTTGTACTAAAGTTACACGTTGTGTAAACAAAGTTACGTCGTGTGCAATCAAAGTTACGCGCTGTGTAAAATGACCAAAATGCCCGCTGCCCGTCGAATGCATAGCATCAAATTATTTTGACACATAATAAATGAATAGAAATATAGGAGAAAAATTGAGCATCAAAACAATTAAATTTGACAAATATTATTTGAACTCTCATTTTTGTTAATCATACTTTCGCTATTATTTTTATCGTATAGTTTTTGTTTTTTGTAGGAACACAATTAACACAATATGGAGTATAAATAAAATTTCTCTCAAAATTTGTTGTGAAGAGAAATTCCATCAATAAAGTCAACCTCTCTATTTATTGTGATTTGAATAAAGATTTTTGAACCACTATTATGATGATACCCAAAAAGGAGAGAAACTTAATACACTATAAGTGCATTGGTGTATTAATAGTAGTATAGTTTTAGTTAAAACTAAATCAAAAGCAGTCATAATACTTTTAGTACTTTAATAATGAGAAAAAGTTTAGGAAGCTACTAAAACATGGCACAATCTTCAACATCAATATAGCTTACTATAAACTTGCATATTTTTCTTTCTTTTGATAGAAGAATCCAGTTCATCTATTTAAATTCTGCCTAAAGGTGACAACATTATCCTGCAGCTCCTGAATATAAATAGCAAGGTTAGATAAAAAATATGAATTGCCATGTTTCCTGGTCTACATATAACTATTTTTTTATTGCAAAAACATCTTCCTAATCAAAATTGAAATTTCTAACAATTTTTTGTCAAGTCACACTCTAGGCCGAAAGCCTCAATTGTGACTTCCACCACCGACTGCAGTCCTTGTATACCAACCCAATTCATACTACAACACTTGAGTAATTAAAAAATAAACAAAAATGCCTAGCTAGATTTATCTTGGTGGAAACATCACATGATATATCTTTCTTCTAAACAAATACACTAAATTGTAGATAATTACAAAATGTAACCAAAAAACAAAGCAAAGGAAACAAAATGTGAAGTAAGAAATCAAATCATAGGAGAAGAAAATAAAAGAATGAATTTTTGTTCTATTATTCATAGATAATGATCATTGGTATAAAATGAATTCTAAATTTTTTTTTTTTACATATTTTAATATTTCACCTTTTATCCATGAAGAACTACCAAATAAAACATCATCCTATAAATTTAACAAACAAATGCCAGTTGGCTATAACATTATGATAAAAAAATAGAGCAAACATGAGAGATTAGAGATGAAGAAAAAAGGAAGAAAAGAAAATGTAAAATGGGATAAAAAATAATAAAGAATTCTTTTTGCTAATTAGTTATCATCTTGACAAAAAAAAAAAAAAATGGCAACAATATTAGTTAGATTAGTTTTAAAAAATAAAAAATAAAAAATAAAAATAAAAAGGTCAGGGATGACAGTAGTTACTGCAAGAAGAAAAAGAAGAGATAGAGTTGATTTTCTCAAGGAGAAAAAATATTTTAATCTTTTAGCCCAATTGAATCAAGAAAGGCAAGGAAAAATTTAGGTAAAATAATCAAAGGTCCACTTGTCAAAAATATATACAATACATGTGTCAAAAAGATGGTTAGCTACAGTAACTTGGGTTTCTTTTTATATACAAGGTAGATATTGTAAAGTCATAATATTTATGCTATAAAGTAAATTATTCAGTTCAACTAATGGTTACTGGAGAACAAAATATGAAACTTTTAAATAATTTAGGACTCCATCATAATTTTGAAAAGATAAAACAGCAATATGCCAGTTCCGTGCAAAATCGGGAAAAATTTGAAAATGAAAAAAAGTGAATGGGTTTATGAGCAAAACATATCACGGAGTGTCCCTAATCTCTTGGCGCCTTGTTCCTTTTCCTTCCTTTCTTATGCCGTTCTTTTCCACTCTCCCCTCTTCTTCTCCCAAACTTACTCTGCAATTCAGTTTCTCTTCTTGTTCCCAAACTTCTTGTTCCCTTCGCCCCGCCCCTACCCGAGTAATTGTTAGTTTGGCATAACACATTTTATCAAAAGAAATTAAACAAAATAAGGCATAAGGCATTTTATCAAAAGAAATTAAACAAAATAAGAAAAATAACTACTGATAATTATGTTTTAGAACAAAAGTAATATAATTTTAGTTGACAAATAAAATTACAAAGAGGGTTTTAAATTTTGACAACTAAAGTTTTGATAAAAGGAAATCCAGTCCCCAATATGTTAGGCATTTTTTCCTTGGCGTACATCGTCCTCCCATAATAACATTAGAGTGAATAAACTTCACGCAATCCATACCATAAAATATTAATGAGTAAAAAAAAAAAAAAAGGTCGTAAACAATCGAGATTACATGGGATTCCTGGGATTCACTATTCTTGCGACTGGTTCTTGCCGCATAAATTCCTAAGCTCCTCTACAGCTTCTTGCAACTCTTCTTCACCTTCTTCTCTCAAATTGTGACTCAATTCCTTAGCTTTTTGTTTCACTGATTCTCCCAGCTCTGTCTTCTCTACGACCACCTCTTTTATGACTTTAGCAACATTTTCCCTCTTGATCCGCCCATCTTCATCCCTCAAAATCTCAATGCCAACGCCAACCTCTACCGCAAGTCTGGCGTGGTGAGGCTGATCATAAAGCATGGGCAAGGCTAACAATGGAACCCCATAATATATGCTTTCCAAAAAAGAACCCCATCCACAATGACTCACAAAACCACCAGTGCTGGGATGTTCAAGAATTTTAGCCTGTGGTGCCCATCCATCCACCACCACTCCCCTCGTTTTCACCCTCTCGAGAAACCCCTCTGGTAGAGCTTCTTCAAGGGCAATGGCATGTCCCACTGGGAATCTGACTACCCATATGAAGTTAGCATTACTCAGCTCCAGCCCGTATGCCATCTCTTCCCTTTCTTCCTCGGACAAAAAGCATTCGCTCCCAAAAGAAACATAAACCACTGATGATTCACCTCTATCATTCAGAAATTCAATGATATGGGAACTGTTCTCATCCTTCTCTTCCTCCTTGGTATCATCATGTTTTAGTTCAATAAGAGGACCTACAGCTAAAATCTTCTTCCCACAACAGGAAGAGAAGTGATCAATGTATTTCCCCTCAATCTCTCTCTGGGTTTTTACCAAAACAATGTGAGAAGATACTTCTAAGCTCTTAGTTAGAGATAGCACAACTTCTTCGGGAATATTTTTTTTTAATTCTTGGACCAATGCTGCCGTCTTCTTGATTTCATAATCCTTGAGAACAATTGCAGGAAAAGGGTAAGTCCCATCAATACCGGAGTCTCCTTTATTCATGAAATCGTAAAAGTACGACCAAGCCCGGCAAACTACTCCAGCGCATAAGAAAAGAACAGATGGGATATGAATCAGTGAAGCCAGCTCCGAGGCCCATGCTTGGAACACGTCGTAGATTAGCAAATCTGGCTGCAAAATATTTAGGATGTTTTGGAAGTTGGTCTTTCCCATGTAAAACGCAACATGGAGGGTTGGATTCAGATGGGGTGGGAGGTTTTTGGTTGTGTGATAGTGTGGAGGGAGTTCAGGGAAAAGTGGCAAATCAAGTTGCACTAATTCTATTGAATGATCGGAGAAGTACTCGTCCAAGTTTCTATCTTTCTTGATGAAACTCAGATTTACCTCAGTGGAACAAAAGTAGATCCGGAAGTTGTTTTGGGCAAGTCTCTTGGATAGTTCTAAGAAGGGAGATATGTGGCCATGAGCTAGCCATGGAAATATCAAAATTCTGAATCTACGAGTATTAGATTCGTTTGATGTCTGCTCCATAGGTGATTTGATTGAATCTCTGGAATCCTATGGTTTTCTTTGTTAGGAGAATGGAAGCATCCCTTATATAATAATAAAAAATCTCAATTTTGGATCCATTGGACGGATAATGAAGTGGAATCTTTGTGGTTGATGAGCTCAAGATGCGAATATTTGGGCAAATGACGCTGAATCATAATAATGGGGTAAAGGGCAAACCGACAAAGTTTTCTCTGACAGCTGCAGGAGAAAATGACTAATTATGGTTGAGCAATAAACTAAAATTAACTAATTTAATTCCAACTAATCACAACCCAAAAGAAACTGAAAAAGAAAAGTTGATGCTGAGTACTATTATTTTTTTTTCAATGCTAATGGAGTTGTTGCATGGTAGATGCATGATTGAGGCCAAGTTCTTGGCTCAAGTTCAATGATTGGAAAGCCGATCGCTTGAAATTATCACCAATCAATAATTTAAAGGGTAATTGATCAGTAACACAAATGAACCCGTTAGAAAATTAGCATGCTAAATCTTGGAAGAAACAATAATAGCTTAAAAGGAACCTAAACCGTACATTCATGTTGAATTGGGTCCTAACTACCGACAAATTAAGATTAACGTATGTAAAAGTTCAATCATATTGCCACAACGTATGTAGCATTCGGACTAGAGGCAGGAATGGTTGCAGAAGCAATGGTTTCTGAAGATTATGCGCAAAATATACACGGTGTAATTTTTTCTAGACACGATGTAATTTACTTTAAAAAATGTGTAAAAC